AGGAAATGAAAACTGAAATAGCCACAGTAGAGAACTCAGGCCCGAAGATCTTTGTAGCAAATATGAATTAGGCTGCTTGAGGACTGGGGATCTTGCTGAAACACAGATTCCAATCCAGCCGATCTGGGGACAGGGAAGAAACTCGGCATTTCTAACAAGCTCCTGGTCCCTGGATTATACTTTGAGAGGTTGGGGCTTAGAAGACAGGTTGCGATCTAGTGGGCTTTTGGCCCACAGGAAATAAGGATCACTCACCGAGAGCCAGACATCCTGGAATGTGAAGTCAAGTGGGCCTTAGAAGGCATCACTACAAACAAAGCTAGTGGATGTGATGGAATTCCAGTTGAGCTATTTCAAATCCTGAAAGATGATCCTGTGAAAGTGCTGCACTCAATATGCCAACAAATTTGGAAAACTCAGCAGTGGCCACAGGACTGGAAAAGGTCAGTATTCATTCCAATCCCTAAGAAAGGCAATCCCAAAGAATGCTCAAACTACCGCACAATTGCACTCATCTCACATGCTAGTAAAGTAATGCTCAAAATTCTCCAAGCCAGGCTTCAGCAATACATGAACCGTGAACTTCCAGATGTTCAAGCTGGTTTTACAAAAGGCAGAGGAACCAGAGATCAAATTGCCAATATCCGCTGGATCATCAAAAAAGCAAGAGAGTTCCAGAAAAACATCTATTTCTGCTTTATTGACTACGCCAAAGCCTTTGACTGTGTGGATCACAATAAACTGTGGAAAATTCAGAAAGAGATGGGAACACCAGACCACCTGACCTGCCTCTTGAGAAACCTATATGCAGGTCAGGAAGCAACAGTTAGAACTGGACATAGAACAACAGACTGGTTCCAAATAGGAAAAGGAGTAGGTCAAGGCTGTATATTGTTACCCTGCTTATTTAACTTATATGCAGAGTACATCATGAGAAACGCTGGGCTGGAAGAAGCACAAGCTGGAATCAAAATTGCTGGGAGAAATATCAATATCCTCAGATATGCAGATGACACCACCCTTATGGCAGAGAGTGAAGAGGAACTAAAGAGCCTCTTAATGAAAGTGAAAGAGGAGAGTGAAAAAGTTGGCTTAAAGCTTAACATTCAGAAAACTAAGATCTGGTCCCATCACTTCATGGCAAATAGATGGGGAAACAGTGTCAGACTTTATTTTGGGGGACTCCAAAATCACTGCAGATGGTGACTGCAGCCATGAAATTAAAAGATGCTTACTCCTTGGAAGGAAAGTTATGACCAACCTAGACAGCATATTAAAAAGCAGAGACATTACTCTGCCAACAAAGGTCCGTCTGGTCAAGGCTATGGTTTTTCCAGTGGTCATGTATGGATGTGAGAGTTGGACTGTGAAGAGAACTGAGCACCGAAAAATTGATGCTTTTGAACTATGGTTTTGGAGAAGACTCTTGAGAGTCCCCTGGACTGCAAGGAGATCCAACCAGTCCATCCTAAAGGAGATAAGTCCTGAGTGTTCATTGGAAGGACTGATGCTGAAGCTGAAACTCCAATACTTTGGCCACCTCATGCGAAGAGTTGACTCGTTGGAAAAGACTGTGATGCTGGGAGGGACTGGGGGCAGGAGGAGAAGGGGACAACAGAGGATGAGATGGCTGGATGGCATCACCGACTCAATGGGCATGAGTTTGAGTAAACTCCAGGAGTTTGTGATGGACAGGGAGGCCTGGCGTGCTGCGATTCATGGGGTCGCAAAGAGTCGGACACAACTGAGTGACTGAACTGAACTTACTGAGGAAATAAGGTTTTTCAGGGTTGCACAGTATCTACATTTAAAAAAGTTGTGGGACTACCCTGGTGGTCCAGTGATTCAGACTTCACCTTCCAAAGCACGGGGTGTGGGTTCAATCCCTGGTCAGGGAGCTAAGTTTGAACATGCCTAGCAGCTGAAAAACCAAAAAACATAAAACAGAAGCAATATTGTAACAAATTCAATCAAGACTTTAAAATCGTCCACATTAAAAAACCTTAAAATTTTTTTACAGTTGCTAACAGCTTAAAATCAGGCATTTTTACATAAAATTCTGAATCTGTCTTCTCCATTCATCGTTCTCAATCACATCACTGAATTTCATTTTATTAGTAGTATCTTTCATAATTGAACTGTGCTTGTTAATTGATTTTTTTTACTTGTTTGTTGTGTATCTCCACTAGGCTATGAACTCCATGCAGGCAGGACCTTGTCTGTCTTGTTTGCCCTGCTTCCCTTGAGCCTAGAGCAGTGTCTGGCACACAATCTATACTCTCTGTATTTTATTATTTGTCAAGTGAATTAGCACATGTGCTTTCCTATGAGCTTGAAGTGAGTGCTACAGTCCACACTTGGTCTTCTTCACTCGCTTGAGTTACCTCCTTAGGAAGGCAGACTCAGGATAATGCCCTTGGGAGCCCCCTATGTTCAGGGAATCTGAGGCGGAGGAAGAGGAATGAAGGCAGGAAGGAGGAGCAGAAGAGTGAGGGCCCGGAAGCCACCGGAGGAAAGGACTTTGGAGCGGGGATGCTGGACCATGAGCGCTGCTGCTGGTGGACGCTGATGGGAGCGAGGGACAGCAGGCCTCTGAGGGAAGCTACTGACCATTAAGAAAGCAGGAGAGAAAATGCACTACCCAGGATATTGCCAAAGTCTTGGTTCCCTGTCTACTGATGCCAAATAGAAATACAAAGATAGAGTTTGGAGGAAATAGAAAGGGATATCTCTATCATTTTTGCCAGGCAAAAGGGAAACACAGCAGGCTAGGGCCTTAAGGACTGTGCCCCTGTTTTCAGGAATAAGAAGAGTCTTAAAGTCTGTGCATTTTTCTTTCTTTCTTTTGGAAGGTTTCAAAATGGCCATAGCCGGCAACTCATGAACCAAGTCTGTTATCCGCCTATGTCCTTCTTTTTGAAATGCTGACTGCTACAAGAGAGTATAGGGGGACAGGAATGCCAGGTGCAAATATAACCTATATGGAGTCAGAGAGTAATTTTCTTTGTGAAGGACAAGTCCAGCTACCAGTGTTTGTTGGTAGTAATCGCTAAAGACTAACCAAGATTGTTTAACTCTTGTAGGCCTGTTTGGCTGGTATGTGCCAAAGGCTGTTCACTCATTTCTATTTTGCTGCAACAGGAATGATTTGGTGCTATCCAGAAAGAAAGTGTAGAGGTAGTATCTCAAGACTTCAGGTGGGCTTTGGAAGTTTCCAGGAGAGGGCAGTAAGTTTTGAGCCCCTGTGTAGACAGAGTCTAAGGACCTAGTGCTGAGAAAGAGACTGAAGAAATTAAAAAAAAAAAAAAAAAACTGGGAATAATGGGAGCCACCCCACCTAAGGCAGATGGAAGGCTGAGATGGGCTGCAGATGGAGAGATTGGAAAAAAAGAATTTAAAAACCCTTTTCTCAGGATAAGGGGGAAGGGGCAGGGAAAGCAAACTCCCAAGAAATGTGTGCTCCTAAAAGGTCTCCATTTAGGGGAAAACTCTTAAAACCTTCCATATAATCCACACAAGCATAGGTTGCATAGGAAATGTATCCAGTTTAATAAATGATTTGTCCTTAATGGAGTTTGCAGCAACACAGGTGTTTCATCTGACCCTGTGGCCACATGTTCATTTCCAAGATTTTTTCCAGAAGCAATATCTTGATGGTTGATGAACTATTCTATAATTGAACAAGGAGAGAACTATGTTGTCTGCAGCACAGAGTTGTGGGTGAGTAGAAATCCCGCCACTTGTGGGGTTTGTGGCAGTAGGGTTAAAACAAGACTTATGAGAAAGATAACTTAGTCTTCAAGGCCTGATGCTAGTCTTGATTTTATTGTTTTATGTGTTTCCCCTTGTGGTGCTCAATAAATATTTGTTCAGTGAACAAATAAATGTAAGGTCAGACTCTGTACATGAGAGTCAAAGAAATCTTGTTTTCTGGAAAAGCTAGCTGAATTAAGCACAGGTTTTTATAGTCACCTCTTCTGGTTCCATTTCATTTCAGCTGTGAGGGATCTGAGAGACTTTAGCCCAAGGTTTTCCTTAAAGGCAGTAAGTGGAAATGTCTTCCCTGTGATAACACTGTCATGACCAGGCCCTTATCCTTCTGCGGGTCTCACCCTTCCCGGTGTTCTGGTAACCCCTGCTATTGCTGGCCATCTCAACTCTGACTAGTAATGGTCTGGCAGAGCCATTAAAGGGTGGATTCAGGAATTTGGCTGGTTTCTAATAATGGCTTTGCCGGGTTAAATTGGGCACTGCTTATTTTCTTGGTGACTCCACTTCCTCATCTGTAAAATGGGAATAGTAAAATTTCTTGTCTCATAGGATAGTTTTTGAAGATTGAATAAGACACTGTAGGTAAAATATGCAGAAAGGTGTCTTGCACACAGTACTCAATAAATGTTAGCTATTATCATTGGAGGTTGTATCTGTTGTTGATTAATAAATGTGGGTAAAACATACTTTTACATAAAATTTGATATTATTTGAAAATATCCTGTATGTGTAGATAGTTAAAGAGAAGGGGAAAGAGAAAGCCAGAGAGCAACAGATTTTTGGTGGTGAAAGGTTTGGAACCATCTAGGTCAATATATTATTAGAACTGAAGATGCTCTTCGGAGAAGTGAATTGGTAATGGAAGACACAGTCTAAACACTGTTTTTTGACTCTCAAGCCAGTGTTTTTTCCACTCCACCCCATTCCAGGTATGGCTTGTTAGTTTTTCGGAAATTATCCCAAATTATGTCCTAATTTAACTTTATCCAAGTTCATCCCAGTAAACAAAAACAGCAAGATCTTGGATGAGAAGAGCAGTCCGCCGGACCAGTAGATAGCGTCCACACACTGCCCCCCGGGGTGGGTGGAGGCTGAAGGGGGCGGGGCTCGTGCGGATACGGGCCACGCCAGCCATCCTTTAATTGGCCCGAGGGCCTCGGCCACTATCCAATTAGAAGCGGCTGCGTCATCACATTACTGGGCAGGGAGGCCGCCCGCGGAAATTTGAAATGGCTGACGGATTGCTGGCTGGTGGTGGGCTGGGGTCGGAAGCGATGGCGCCGGAGCCCGAGCTTCCTGGCTGGGCGGCCGTGGAAGAGCTGGAGCACCTGGAGAAAGGTGAGCACCCGCCGTGCGGGAGGAGCCGCTGTCTGCGACAGACCGTGTCGGCAGCGCGGGGGGCGTTAGGACTCTCCGAGGACGCCTGAGGCGCAGGCCTTCCGGACCTGGCTGGCGTGGGTGGCGGCTGTGACTGGGCGAGGCCCCGACCCACTCTCCGGACGTCGAATCGGGAGGTACCCAGGACACCTCTCCTCCTCGCCCAATCTGGCCTCAGCTTCCTCGAGACTGGAGGGACTTGGGCCGGGCGGGGATACCTCCTCTTGCTGTCTGGGTTCCCACCCCCGCCCCGCCACCCCGGGTTTGTGCGCGAGTTTGTATGTGCAGAGTGGACGCATATTTTTTATTTGCATCTCAAAGGATGTCCCCTCACTGTCCCCTTTCCCGAAAGAAAATGAACGCTTGGCCTAGATAGCAGCACTGAGCATTGAGAGCAGGTGACGTGCCGAAAGGTAGGGGAGCCAATTTGTGACACAGTATAAAAAAAACTAGAACCCAGGTCTAATTCTCAGTCCTTTCTGTCTCTTCATGGAGACTCCGTTTTTTCCCCCTGATATTTTAAGGTGGTTCAGGCTTTTACTTTAACATGTTCAGTTGTACTGTGTAGTGGAAAGAGCCCTGGAGAAGTGAGAAAACGTTAAGTGTGACTTAATTCCCCTCTTACCCCTTTTTGTGATCTGGCAACAGTCAGATGACTTCAGTTTTCTCATCTGCAAAACAGGTAGTAGTGCTGCTGAGTGGTGAAGATTAAGTGAAATAGTGTGTGAAAAGTATTTCAAATTGGCTCTGAACACGCATAACATGAAATTTACCATCTTAACCATTTTAGACGTGGATTCAATCCCTGGGTTGGGAAGATAACCTGCAATAAGAAATGGCAACCCACTCTTGTATTCTTGCCTGAAAAATCACATCAACATAGGAGCCTGGCAGGCAACAGACCATGGGGTGGCAGAATTGGTTAGCCACTGAGTACATAACCAGTTTTAAGTGTACAGTTAAGTGGTATTAAACACATTCACAGCAATGTGAATGATTGTGAATCACAACTATGAAAAGTCATCTTGTAAACTGAAACGCTATACCTATTGAATAGTAACTCCCCATTCGCCCCTCTCCCCAGCCCTTGGCAACTACCATTATACTTTCTGCCTTTATGGTTTTGACTACTTTAAGTACCTCATATCAGTGGAATTATACAGTACTTGTCTTTCTGTCACTGACTGGCTTATTTCACTCAGCATAATGTTCATCCAGCATAATCATAAATTTCTTCCTTTTTTAAAGCTAAATAGTTTTAGCTGTGAACATGCATGTACAAATATCTCTTGGAGACCCTGCTTTCAATTGCTGGGTTGTATGGTAATTCTATTTTTAAATTTTTGAAGAATCACCTTAAGTTTTCCATAGTGGCTATACCATTTTACATGCCTACCAACAGTCCACAAGGGTTCCTATTTCTCCATATCTTTGACACCACCTGTTTTCTTGGTAGCTTCTCTTATTGTGTTTTGGATAATAGTCACCTAATGGGTGTGAGATGAGGTATTATTTCTTTTAAAAACATACCTATGTTATGTGATGGATGGTATGAAATAGTTTATTCTCTTAATTGAAGTTGGCATACTATTTTCATCTTCCTGAGGTTCAGAGAGATTTTCACACATTTGATAAGGTATTGATGTCTTCTGAAGCTCAGGTGCATTGGTGTCTATGAGCAGGAAACCCTAGAGTACACCTTGGTTATCTTGTTGCCAAGTCTCAACTCACTTCCTGCTCTCTGCACCACAGGCCAATAAATTGAAAGAGAGTTGTTGGCACAAGGAATAGTGACTTTATTTGGAAAGCCAGCAGACCAGAGGATCCTGGACTAGTGTCCCAAAGAACCATCTTGCCAAAATTAGAATGCAGCTTTCCTTTATACTCAAAGGGGAGAGGGTGTAGCAGGTTGGTGCACACTTCTTTTTCAGAAGCCTTTATTCTTGCAGCTCTTCAGGTTGGTCAAGTCATGATGTTTTTTTAAACCTTCAACAAAGCAAATGTTATTCTTTGTTCTGCAACGTTTTGTCTGTACATGAATGGGGAAAAGGTGTTATACCTTTAAAGGTCAGAGCCTTGAGAATGGGCTGTCCTGTCTATTTCAGGCTATAGGCAACATTCTTAATTTGTATCAAAAGTAATGGAATAGAAAGGTTAAAGTACAAGAAATAGATCCAATATGGAGTCAGATTTGTTCTTCCCTGTTACAGTCTGTGGGGTTGCATAATTCTGGTGCCCTAAACTGGGGCAAAGAAGTGGAAGGAGGGAGAAATATAAGGGGTGGGGGAAAGAGACTCCTGCTGAAAGTCTCAGATAATCTTCCTGAAACCACTTTAGCTGATATTTATTTATCAGCATGTTTATTTATTATAGTAGTCATTTTGTCTATTAAAAACATCATATTCATATTACACAGAATTAGATATGCCACTGGCTCAATCACGCCTTGTGAAACATAATTACATATAGCCCAAACCTAATTCGATTAGCATTTTCTAATCCTTTCCTTAGACATAGGCACTGAAATTAACGAGGAAGAACCTAGTAGCTTTGGTGAGGTAAGTGAAAGTGAAGTCTCTTAGTCATGTCCTACTCTGTGCAATGGACCCCATGGACTGTAGTCTACCAGGCCCCTCCACCCATGGGATTTTCCAGGCAAGAATACTGGAGTGGGTTGCGATTTCCTTCTCCAGGAGATCTTCCTGACCCAGGGATTGAACCCAGGTCTCCTGCATTGTAGGCAGATGCTTTACCATCTGAGCTACCAGGGGAGTCTATTGACAGCTCGGTATAAACCCCCTGCCATAAGCCCTATGAGGTCACCGTGAGCCGCAGAGCAGGGCTCCTCACTTGATTCGTGCAGGGCGTGTCGTTCATTCACAACAAGCACAGTGTAGAGTTAGTAAAGTATAGCAGAAAACATATTCGCTAGGAGAACAAAGAACTAGAGCTCCAAGCATCCTTACCATGTCCTAAAGAATCCCCAACGGGCCCCCAAGATGAAAGGTTGCTGCTGAACCAAAAAGACGCCAGGATTCTTGGCCTCCAGAGGAGAAGAATTCAATCCGGGGCCAGTGACGAGGCTTGATCGTTTAGAGCTTTTGTGTAATAAAGTTTTATTAAAGTATAAAAGAGATAGATGTTATGCATGATTAAGAATGCATATCCATTTTATTGAGTGGTATTGACAGGTGATATTATAGAAATTAAAGGAAAGTTTCAATTTATTTTGAGATGACATATTGGAAACCACCTCTACATTTAATACAGCTTTATGGAATTTTTTTTTTTTAATGACTGTAAGATATTTGACCATTATGAGTTGCTTTGCTGCTGTTGTTCTGCCGCTCAGTTGTGTTTAACTCTTTGTGACCTCATGGACTGCAGCACACCAGGCTTTCCTGTCCTTCACCATCTCCCAGAGCTTGCTCAAACTCATGTCCTTTGAGCCGGTAATGCCATCCAACCATCTCATCCTCCATCATCCCCTTCTCCTGCCTTCAATCTTCCCCAGCATCAGGGTGTTTTCCAGTGAGTCGGCTCTTCTCATCAGGTGGTCAAAGTATTGGAGCTTCACCTTCAGCATCAGTCCTTCAATGAATATTCAGGGTTGATTTCCTTTAGAATCAGGTAGTTTGGTCTCCTTGCTATCCAAGGGACTCTCAAGAGTCTTCTCAAGCGCCACAGTTCAAAGACATCAATTCTTCTGTGCTCAGCCTTTTTTCTTGTCCAGCTCTCACATCCATACATGACTACTGAAAAAACCATTTGACTATACAGACCTTTGTAGGCAAGTAATGTATCTTTTTTAATACACTGTCTAGGTTTGTCATTGTTTTTCTTCCTCTCTAGCTCTAGTAATAACCAAAGCTATACCTTCTGAAGGAGAACTTGGGTGATTTCCACTGAATTAAAAAATAACCCTCTTTCTTTGCCTCACAGAACAGCAACAAAAACCTAACCCATGGAAGATTTTAAGTTCTTACTGTTTTGAAGTAAAACTTGAGTTTTGAGATATTTTTAAATTTAGAAAAAAAATTTTTGATAGTGATAGAGGTATGTAAAGCATTAGATCCAAATCCTTGTTTATATTTTATTTGAAAATTCTAAGGAAATATATGAAAATAGAAGCAGTTAATAAGCATTTGAAGTGTCTGGGATAGTTGAGCCTGACTGTTTTTGCTGTTCTCTTAGGTTTGTTTGAAAATGAAGATTCATGCAGTGATTGTAGTGATCATGTTAAACCAGGTAGTAGTTTACAAAGTTTTGTGCCAGAAGGAAAAACTCACTTCCCAGAAATGTTCCAGACAAGTCAACTTTTGTTCTATGAGCGATTCAGAGCTTATCAAGATTACATTTTAGGTGAGTAGGTCCTTTTTTTTGCTCCTTTTATCTTTTAATTTACAGGTAGTTTGTCTCAGTTCCTCAGACTGCCATTGTTGGTTCTGAGAAAGTAGATTTACAAGGATTTATTAACTTCTCTCTGCTTTATGCTGTCTCAATTCCTATTGTTTTTAATTTGTTTGTAGCTGACTGCAAGGCCTCTGAGGTAAAAGAATTCACTGCTGAGTTCTTAGAGAAGGTCCTTGAACCATCTGGATGGCGGGCAGTCTGGCACACTAATGTGTTTGAGGTGCTAGTTGAGGTAAATTTAATTCTGTTGTTAAGACATTTATCTCTACCTAAAAACACTTTCCCTCAGACTGTTATAACCAAAGTGCTTATTTTTAATTAAGAGTTATGAGCTGATTGAAAGTGACGTGTTTTTCATGTCTAATTGCTGTGGTGTAAGAAGTATTCTGCAAATTTTAAAGGCAATTAAAGGGGGAATTGAGGTGGTTTAAGTTTCACTGTCCTTTAAAAAAGAGAAATGGATTAGAAAGCTATGAAATGGGGGAGGTATTTGAGACCATTTAAAAAATAAGATGCCTATTTATAAAGTCAGCGGGGTTTGAATTAATTTTTTATCTTCTTAGTTATAGCCCATTAAAGTAGCTCAAACCAAGTAGGCATTTTAAAGTTAGCCTATTTTTTGCCGAACAGATTTGTAAGTATGTTGTTAACCTGTTGATATTATGTTCCACTGCAGAAAGTAAAAACAATCTTATTTTTCAACTGGCTGGGCCTTTTACATTAAGTTTTCACTCTAATTACAGCTGTGAATTTTTCTCAGTGTTTGTTAACTGAAGCACAAAAAAACCCCATTAAACTAAAATGGTAAACCAGGGAGGGTGAGTACAACTTGTACCTGCAGCCCCTTTAGAAAATGACATCACATACGACAGCAACTATATATGAAGCAGTGGTTTGCAAGCAGCTGCTCCTCATGGGTTTTTTAATTTGGGATTATGCTAATACCTTTGGTTGCAGTTCAAGCCATTAAGTTGATTATGATAGTAACACCCTGCCCTCAACATACCTCAGTTCTCTAAAAGCAGCCAAAATCATTATTTTAAAAGAGAACTGTGCCATTCCCCTGCATTCCTCTAATGCATTGCATATACTAGAGGTCTGGTTTTGGCTTTATGGCCTCTCATTGTTGGATAACACGTAAAAGCCAAGTTCCTTCAGTGCCCTTCCTGTCCTGATCTTGCCTCTCTTTGTCACCTCCTGCTGCCCCTACTTCATTTCCTTCCTTTTGTTCCAGCAAGAAAAACTGCTTCTCTGCTCTTCCAGCTGCCAATTCATCTCTGCCTCAGGGCCTTTTCATCTTTCCTGCTCTTGAAACAGCTGCTTCCTTTTCATCCCAGCTCAAAAGTGACTTCCCCAACCTCTCCAGTAAAACCAGACCACCACCCCTGCTATTTGTTCTTTGTCACATACTTGTTGCCACCTTATTTGTTTGTCACTTCGATTACAATGTCAGCTCCATGTGGGTATAAGCCAGGTCTGTCCTGTTTGTCCTTACGTTATGGAAGAAGTCTCCCCACTCCCATTTCATGCTTTAAAAAAGAAATCAAGCTGTAAGTAGTGTTTTAGATGTATCTTAACTTTGATTTGCGTATGTTAAGTCACAATTTTAAATTTCAGGTCACAGACGTAGACTTTGCAGCTTTGAAGGCAGTGGTGAGGCTTGCTGATCCGTACCTCTGTGAATCGCACGTGAGCACTTTTACTTTGGAGTGTATGAAAGAGCTCCTTGATCTGAAGGAATACCGGTTGCCCCTGCAGGAGCTGTGGGTGGTGTTTGATGATTCTGGATTATTTGACCAGACAGCACTTGCGATTGAGCATGTCAGGTAGGAATAGAGGTTGATAAAAGTAACCTTGTGGCCAAAAAACTTTGGATGAAATGCTGTAATTCTGGTCTGTATTATACCTAGATTTAAAGCTCAAACTGTAAACCTGGTCACTGCAATATTTCAAAATATTCAAAGATAGAGGGATCTTTTTTTAAATTAAAAAATGATTTCAATGTTTAAAATTTTCATTTTGAGATAATTTCAGACTTACAGAAAAGTTGAGAAAAATAGTACTAGGGATTTCTGTATAGCCTTTTCTCAGTGTCCCCAAATATTAACAAAAGACAGGGGATTCTTAATTTCGTTTGTATGTGTTTAGAAACTGCCTTAAAAATTCTGGATGCTAAGGCTATAGTTGATACAATTAAATATAAGGAAAGGAAAGAAGATGAAGAAGATGATATACCATAACCTGTGCGCTGATAAGACTGACATACAATGTTTTCAAGGATGTGTCTGGCCAAAGATGTTTTCTCAGGCCACTTCTGGGATCCTTAGGGGGGATGTGCATGCCTTTCAACCTTTTTTGGCTGAGTTGGTTTCCCCTTGTACAGGTGGATGCCTTGTCCCTTAAATGAGAAGGAAAACTCATACCTCATGTTTTCTTTAGTTTCAGATAACTTTTTTGTCAGATAGTTCCTGATAGAGATAGTTCTTTTGAATCATCTTTTTATAAGTATATATACTAAGGAAGGCTTATTTTTGGCTATTTGAAAATGGACTTCTATTCCTCCATAAACTGGAAGACTGGATAATATAAAGGTCATGTTAATAATGCTGCTTGATATTTTGTAGTTCAAAAAGTACATTTCCTGAGTACATTCATGAGTTAACCTGGTTTTGTTGAACTTAATTTGATACTCTACAAAGAAGCAGAGTGTCTTGCACCCTATCTCTGACATTTCATGGAAGATTTCTAATTCTATTCGAGGACATTTAGCCATAGGTATTCAATATTAGGCCAAACAAATATAAACCTAAAGAATGGGCTTATGTCCAGAACCAAAATAACTCCCTTATGTTTCTCTCACTTAAAAAAGCTGTCAACTGAGGCATTTGAAAGTAAAGGGGAAAAAAAAAAAGTAAAGGGATAATTTATGCATTTAGGAACTTAGAAATCAGGGGGTTAATCTCTTATGGGTATAGAAGTTGGTAGAAAGACAAGTATGTGGAATTAGTATTATTCGAAGGAGAACCTGGCTAAATTATTCTTCATTTTGAGGGCTCAGATTCTGATCACTGTCAAGAAAAGGTCAGATTATGAGGGTCTTCATTTGTTCATTTTATTCAGTAAGTATTTCAGTGCTGCATCTTGAGTTGAGGATGAGATTTGAGGGGTGCACAAAAGAGACACAATCACCATCACCAGGGAGTTGGCAGTCTAAATGTGGGAGATGAACTTTGATGAAATAATCACATAAAGATATGTGTGTGATTGGAAACTGCAGTGAGTGCTGTGGAGGATTAGAGTGTTCTAAGACTAGCTCAGGTTTCTGTAATATGGTTATTTCCTGAGGAAATGGTATTGGAACTTGGGTCTGAAGGGTTGGCTAGTGAAAGTTGTTGCGGCAGGGTGGAGGAAGAAACGTGTTGGGAAGCTCTGAATTTAAGGAGTCAAAAGGCCAGATTGGTTGGAACATAGACAGTGATAGATGAGACTTAGGAAACCAGCTTAGAGGTCAGAAGACGCAGGGATTTGTTAGCCAATGAATCATTTTTGTCTTCAAGTGCATTGGGAAACCCATGAAGGGTTTTCAATTAAGGGAGAATATGATCAGATTTTTATTTAAAAGTTTCGTTCTGGCTGCTATGTAGAAAGTAAATGGAGGGAGAACAGGTAGAGAGACCAGGTAAGAGACAGAGTGGACTAGAGTGGAGATACAGCAAATACAGATTAGGCTTATTGAGAAAGTAGGATGGCTAAGACTTGATGGTGGAATGAATATGGGAGAAGGCACAGATGACTCCCAAGTTTCTGTCTTGAGAGGATAAACACTGGTGGAAGTGCAGATGTGAATGGAAGGTGATTGCCCAGTTCTGAGCTGGTGAGGATGATGTTTGAGCTGGGTCATGAAGTGTAAATACAAGCTTGTGTGTTAGTCGCTCAGTCGTGTCCGACTTTTTGCAGTCCCATGGACTGTAGCTTGCCAGGCTCCTCTGCCCATAGAATGCTCCAGGCAAGACTACTGGAGTGGGTTGCCCGACCCAGGGGTTGAAACCAGGTCTCCTGCTTTGGAGGCAGATTCTTTTACCATCTGAACCACCAGGGAAGCCCAAATATAAGCTCACCAGGTGGAAAAGGTGGAAGGCAGCCTGACCAGCATGTCACAGCGGGTTTAAAAGAGCTTGTGAAATTGGAAGTTTGCATATAGGGGCTCCGAGGCAAGACAGGTGCTCTAGAAGTGGTTTGTAAGTCCATCTAATATCACCAGTCTCAGGAATTTGGACTTTGTTTTGAGGACAACAAGGAGCCAGCAGAGTTTTTTGGTTGAGTAAAGGCATGCTCAGGTTTCCCAGCTGGTGCTTGTGGTAAAGAACCCGCTAGCCAATGCATAATAGATATATGCATCAATGCATAAGAGACATAATAGATGTGGATTCGATTCCTGGATCGGGAAGATCTCCTGTAGGAGGGCATGGCAACCCACTCCAGTATTCTTGCCTGGAGAATCCCATGGACAGAGAAACCTGGTGGGCTACAGTCCATAGGGTCACAAAGAGTCGAACACAACTGAAGCTACTTAGCATGCATGCACACAAAGGCATGCTCAGGTTTGTTTTAGTTTTTTGTTTTTAAGAGATGGACTCCGGAGGTTGAAGAGACTAGCAGTCCAACCTATAAGAATTAAAAGATGGCTTCATTTTTTTAAAAAAATTTATTTTCTAATTGAAAGATAATTGCTTTATAGAACTTTGTTGTTTTCTGTCAAACATCAACATGAATCAAAAGATGGCTTCATTTTCACTGCTCCCTCCTTTTCAACTTTTTGACAGTTATATAGTCTGTACTTACTGGCTTTCCACTCATGCCTCTACTTCTACAGTATTGAAATTGTGCTTAAGTTCACCTATATTCTCATGTCTAGTCATCGCTCCTCTGATCTCATCTTGCCTTGACCTCTTGGTCACATTCTAATTATTTGATCATTCTCATCTTCTTAATATCCTCTCCTCCCAGCTTCTGGGACACCGCCTTATGATGGTGTGTCACGGGCTTGCTTTTTTAGTAATCTTGGCCTGGCTGGTTCTTCCTCTCATACTCAAATTTCAGAATGTAATTTCCCAGGGCTTAGGGGTAGGCTGTCTACTCTTATCTCTCTCTAATCAGCTTTGGAAACACATTAGAATCTCCTGGGACTTTTCTTTATAAGCGTATTCCAGCTGGTACATGAAGAAAGAATGATGAAGAGGATCAGTATTTGCAACCCATAATAAAATAGAGATGGTCAGGTATCATGTGCTTTGCGATGAAAGTACATTTTATCCCTTGAAGCATTCTTGCCAAAAAAGTCTTTCCTAAAGATGATCAGGTCTCTAGTTCTTACTATCAGTTTACTAGAAATAAAGGAAACAGAACATGTTAAATGACCCCATGGGGATGCATCAGTAAAATAAATTGCAAGGTGAAAAAGAGGGATGGATAATCTATAGAGTAAAAGTGATTTAATTAAATTTAATGGCTGATCTTTGTTTGGATCTTGATTTGAATTAGCCAAATGTAATAAAGCAATAGGAGCAACAATGAAAGAGAGATAATTAGGGGAAACCAAACACTGGGGATACTTGGTTATTAAGTAATTAAAACTTTTTTGTATAAAGATTTATCTCACAGGCACACAGTAAACACTTATGAGTGATATGTCAGAAATTTGCCTTAAAATAATCCAGTGTCAGTATGGTGGGGGTAGGAGAGCAGAGATGTAAGTGGGTGTAGTAGAGGTAATGAGTTGGTATCGTCAAAGCTGGATCATGGATACGTGGTATTCATGATACTTTTTGTTCTTGTAAATGTTTGAAATTTTAGATGATAAAAAATTTGTTAAATTACTTTGGGCAACTTTAATAAAATATGGGTCCTGTATACTCTCTCTCCTGTCTCCCACCCAAGAGATTCTGACTTATTGGTCTGGGATAGGGTTGCAAATCAATTTTTAAAGGTTTCCCAGGGGACTCCAATATGCAGCTAGAGTTGAGAACTACTGCTTTATGTCTCTGGATGATCTCATCTATTGCTTTAATGCCATCTATACGCTGACAACTTCCAGATTGATGTCTCTAGCCTTGACTTTTTCTTGAGCTCAGGTCTTGTATATTCATCTGCTCTCTGATGTCATCCACTTGGAGTTCAAATAGGCATCTCAACCTGAAGGTAGTGAAAACAGAGCTCTTCATTTTTAGCCCTAAACTTGTTTCTCTCCAAGTCTTTTCTAAACAAATGGCACTACTTTCCACCAAGTTTCAGATGGTCAATAAATAGTTCTTCTGATAAAAAGAAGGTTGTAACAGAACCAATGTTGTAGAAAAACTTAATTTAGCGAATCCAAAGAAGATCTGTGGGACTCATGATTGTCAAGTTAGCAAATATGTAGTCTTCTCTACCATACTTGGTAGACTTGTTTGATTTACTCTTACCCCTCTCACATTTTGAGCCAGTGATTGAATTTGTGTGATACTGATTTACTTTTCAGGTTTTTCTATCAGAACATTTGGAGGAGTTGGGATGAAGAAGAGGAGGATGAGTATGATTATTTTATCAGATGTGTTGAACCTCGATTGAGATTGTAAGTATTTATTAGTGGCCTTGAACGTGTTGGAAAAATAGCTGTTTATGGTTTAATTTAACCTGTGTTTTGTGTATACTGTATATATACTCCAGGGGCCTACAGACAGAGATAAATAGTATAATCCATTGACAAGTTATTAAATTCGCGTAAGTGCAGAGAAACCTACTTTGTGTTTATAAACCTACTTGTAGTGTTTTTAGAATCTAAAAGCAGAGAATTCAAGAACATCTAAGTTAACAGCTTACTCTTTTTTGAATTTAAGTAAAACTCAGTTGAGCATATATTAAAAAGAACCAAATCAAAGATAATTGTTTGAAAAACAGTGAAATTAATTGAATTATAGAAGACTTCTTTTTAAAGAGTACTTTTAACGACACGGGTTTACTCTAAGTAAAACATACGAGGCTAAACAGATTTACCTCAGGATGTTTTGTCAAGTTCTTTTCCTTAAATCTTATTTTACAGATAAAAACACTGCATAGTTAATATTGATGGTGAATAAAAATTTCCAAAGTAGCTAAACAAACATATACCTAAGTAAACAAAATACCTAAACACATTCTTCTGATATATCATGTTTTGGTAGGGAAAAACCCTTCCATTATAAAAATACCCCAAATTAACCATGCAACCCAAGTAGTCATCCTGCACTGACTTTGTTAAATGTTGTTTCCACTAGATAGTGCTATAAGACCAGATAATTTTTTGATACTTCTGCACTGTAATTTAATAGGCAGTGCCGCAAAAGAATAAAATTAGACCTTGCATGACAAAAGTAAATTGCAGAAGATAATTTTTTTCCCTGTGTAAAAGATGATTTGGTTACATAAGATAAGGCAATACTCTTTACATTTCTGTAGAACTGATTTGATTTAGTAAGTTTCCCTTGGTTTAAATAGTAAGTCATAAGTAAAAAATACCTGAGAAGTTTGGTTAAGGTTGGTTCTTCTTGGTTTAGAATTGTGAATGTCTAATTTCAGATTTTCATAAATTGGCTATGATTTTTGTTTAGCCTTTCCAATTTTTCCATTGTTCATTTCCCATTTTTCTATAATGTAGTCAATAAAATCCAGACTTTCAATAAGCTTGCATATTTTCTAGTCTTGATATACTTGCTCTTAAAGAGCAGTGATTGGTTTTAATTGAAGGGAAATGTAATGGTGGATGAATATCATGTATCTGGCAAATTTGATCTTTATTTGAAAAATACTATATTCCAATTTGACAGCTTTACATGTTCAAACAATAAGAAATGATTTACATACAATCTTATACTTCACTGGCAGATGGAAAAGCATAAGGGAGGAATTGTTTTCAGTTATGGAGAAGAAACTGTGGGACTTGATGGGGAAACCAGAATGTTATCAAATACAGACAGACTCTTTAAAAGGTCCCTGGGCTAAGACAAGAGTAGAGCTATTCACAGGCAAGAGCTAAAGAGCAAAGAGCTAAAGGGAATCAAACTATATTGTCTTGATTTCTCATTGTGAAGTAAATATTTTTCCTTTCTAATTCCTTTCTAATAATAATTCCTTTCTAATTCAAAACTCTGCTTCAAAGGTTATGGGTCTGGTTTATAACTTTCAGACTATGAAGCATCACTATAATGAGAATAAGCTGATTGGCATGGATATTGGAAGTGCTAAGAAACTTATTTTAAAATTTGAGTCTTAATCTCCATAATTTAATAGACCTGATCAAGCAGTCAGTGGTTGGGTTCCCCAGTTTCTTGTTTGCAAAATGGATTTCTAGAATATTTTTAAATGTTTTTTAAATGTTAATATTTAAAAATTTAAATATTTTTAACCAAAGCAGACAAAATCCTTGCTTTTCAAGCTTCACCTAATTCATTTACTTGAAAAGTGTAAAAAGTATTTTTTATTCATCTTAAATACTATTTAAATGCTTGCTGTAATTTGATGTAAATTTGTTTAGGATGTGGTTTTCTTTTTTTGTCCTCCTATCTTATTTAGCATGACAGAGTTAAGACATTAAGGCAGTAGTACACAACCTTGGCTGTACATTAGAATCCCCAGGGAATTTAAAACAAATAACTCCTCTGCTTCTAGAGACTAATTTAATTGGTGTGGATGGGGCCCTGAGCATCTGTATTTTTAAAAATTCCCCAGTGATTCTAATAAGCAGCCAAGGTTAAGAAGCTCTGGCCTGTACAACCCAGCAATTTGACTGCTAAGCATACACACCAAGGAAACCAGAATTGAAAGAGACGTGTATGTTCCCCGACACCCTGTTCATCGCAGCACTGTTTATAATAGCCAGGACATGGAAGCAACCTAGATGTCTATTGGCAGATGAATGGATAAGAAAGTTGTGGTACATGTACATAAATATACACAGTGGAATATTAGTCAGCTATAAAAAAGAACACATTTGAGTCAGTTCTTCAGAGGTGGATAAAACTGGAGCCTATTATACAGAGTGAAGTAAGACAGAAAAACACCAGTACAGTATATAAATACATATATATGGAATTTAGAAAGATGGTAACGACGACCCTATATGTAAGACAGCAAAAAAGACACAGATGTAAAGAACAGACTCTTGGACTCTGGGAGAAGGTGAGGGTGGGATGATTTGAGAGAATAGCATTGAAACATGTATATTACCATATGTGAAACAGATGACCAGTCCAAGTTTGATGCATGAAGCAGGGCACTCAAAGCCTGTGGTGTACTGGGACAGCCCAGAGGGAAGGGATGGGGAAGGAGGTGGGAGAGAGGTTCAGGATGGGGTGAGGGGGACACATGTACACCCATGGCTGGTTCATGTCAATGTATGGCAAAAACCACCACAATATTATAAAGTAATTAGCTTCCAATTAAAGAAGCTCTGGCCTAAGTTAATATACTTGGAAAATAAAGCAATTATTTTAAAACTATAGGTAATGAAATAATATTACATTTATTTTCAAATCCATTTCATATCCATTAACTTAATTGCACACTTACAAATTTTTGCACCTAGAAGAACTTTTTGTTGTGTTTATATATTTGAGAAGGTATATAAATTAATAATAAGCTTTAAGTGCCAACAGTGTTGTCCAATACAAGGTTATTTTGTTTTAATCACTCTCTAGTAATAACAGCTGTATTTTTTTTTATCAGAATCTCAAAGGCTTGTGTTTTTGAAATACTCTAGTAATCTTCCTGAAGAAATATTTAGCAAATTCAGCTCCATGGTGCTTTAAATGCAGGCAAGGACTAGATGATTTGAATCATTTAAAATTTTTAATCCTATAAATGTGGTAATCTTAAACATTGTTATGAACTATTTGGGATGCTTTCCTCCCCACCCCACCTCCAGATTGTCCACTGCCTCCCACTTATTAAGATTTTGAATTTAATATATGAGAAAATAATTTCTTATTAAATAATAAATACAAATTGTGCAACATAAGCTTTCAGTGCTTCAAAAACACAAATGCTTAGATCTAAGGGGAAAAAAATAGCAACTCCTCAAAAGAGAAAAATTAGTGGCCTTAATGAAGTGGCCCTTAAAACTTTCAATAACATCCACCTATTTAGTAAGACTTAACATGTTGCTAAGTTGCATACTCTGAGACACTTTTCTAATGGGGTCTTTGAGGATGAAATGGCTGTCTTAATGATGGGAAAATGTGTCTGAAAGGCAATGGGTTTCAATTTGCTTTTAAACTTTCAGGCATTATGACATTCTTGAAGACCGAGTTCCTTCAGGACTTATTGTTGACTACCAAAATCTGTTGACTCAATGTGAGGAGAGTTACAGGAAATTTTTAAATCTGAGAAGCAGTTTGTCAAATTGTAACTCTGATTCTGAGCAGGAAAACATCTCTATGGTGGAAGGGTTAAAGTTGTATTCAGAGATCGAACAGCTGAAACAAAAACTAAAACTCATTGAGAATCCTTTGTTGAGGTATGTATATTTTTGTTATTCTCAACTAGTCAGCATCTTTTCTAACCAGCTGTCCTACTGAGAACTGACAGGTCTGTTTGGTTTCTTAAGATATGTATTTGGTTATCAGAAGAATTCTAATATACAAGCAAAAGGCATCCGTCCAAATGGCCAGAAGGTCACCCATGTGGTCTCCTCCATCATGATGACTGGTCTGCTGCAGTCCCTGCTCAGGGATAGGCTTTGCCCAGAGCCTTGTAAGGAAGAAATAGAAATTCAGGTAAAAGGAGAGTTTCTTCTTCCAGTTGCTTTTTTTTGTCTGATTCACCCAAGGCTTTCCTAAATTCTACAGAAAGTTTATAGGTGTCTTCCTGAGCTGGTTTTCTGTGGAGTGGGAAGTAGTGAGAGCACTGCCTTTCCGCATAGTCACTTATAGTCGCTGATAGTCACTTAGAGCCACTGATATTCGCTTATCAGTCACGTAAAGGGCTCAGTGCAATAGCAAAGGAGATAAACATACAGTTTTGGCTCCCTTTTCAAAATGAAACATGAAGGCACCTGGAGTAATACTCAGGTTGCATTTGAGGGGTGTATATTTACAATATATTGTTGTTGTTTTCTAGTTCCATAGTGATCCGTTGTCTGCTATAAATGCCTGCTATGAGGGTGACACTGTTATTGTTTGTCCTGGCCATTATGTGGTACATGGTGCATTCTCCATTGCTGACTCCATTGAGTTGGAAGGTGAGTATGGAAGATCATACAACCAAACTCTCCTGCATGAGACACTTAAGAAAACAGGAAATCATTGATCTTGTTGAAGCTCTAAGAATTTTATTTCAACCCAGTTAATTTCAAATGAGTTGCCTGGAAACATTAAGGGTTTTTGAAGTGTATAGGTTATTGAGTCAGTGTTTGAGCAACATGAAGTATGAGTCTTTATGACATTGTAAATGTTGCGAAGACAAAAATATAGAGGAACAACCACTAGGGAGAAACGTAATTCCAGACTATAGGTGGTTGATGGAAATGAATTCATTTCTAGAATAAAAAAAAAATTCCCAGTAATATTTTTTTAAAGTTTACTATTTTTTAATTTGTTGTTTCCTCTTATTTCATGTATGTTGTAGATATATTGGTGCATGGTTTTTGTTTTAAATTTAGCTTATTTTTGTGAGAGGTATAGGTCTAACTTGAAAGTAGACTGAAAATCTTTATCTTAATTATTTTAAGAACTTCTGAATGTCACAACGTCTAAAGTGTACTTTTGAGAACATTAGCATTGAAAGAGTCTATTAAAAATAGCTTTTATCTGTTATAATCTTACTGTACATTTAGAGTGATTCCTAAATTTAGGTTGCTTTACAGTAGTTCACCTTGGTCTTTTGTATTGCCATAGCTTGTCAAATTTAGATGCACCTGCTTAACTATTTATCAAAAGAACTTCAAGTTAGCAATAAAACTTCTAATGCAAAAAATCATACATCATTTTGGGATTGGTACAGCTGTTCACAAACTGCTTAAGCTATGTTCTTTATCTTGTGAAAACTTCTTAATGGAAGCTAGGCTGGGAGTTTAATATCCTGCTCTTCACCAATATATCACCTCACCCCATTTTTTGTTTTATGTGTGTAATTTTTGTTCTGTTTCCTCTCCAACATTTGATATATAACAGATGTGTGTTTTATAAATAACATCTGCAGAATAAATCACAGCAATAAAAACAGTTAATTTTTTTGGCATAGTGCAAACAGCATTGATATTTTAGATTATGTGCTGGAAAAGCATTCTTCCTAGATTGGTGAGGAAATTATAATGTAGTTGTGCCAGTGTGCCACAAATAACCAGGGCTTCCCTGATGGCTCAGTTGGTAACGAATCCACCTCAATGCAGGAGACCCCAGATTGATTTCTGGGTCAGGAAGATTCCCCTGGAGAAGGGATAGGCTACCCACTCCAGTATTCTTGGACTTCCCTTGTGGCTCAGCTGGTAAAAAATCTGCCTGCAATGCAGGAAACCTGGGTTTGATTCCTGGGTTGGGAAGATCCCCTGGAGAAGGGAAAGGCTACCCACTCCAGTATTCTGGCCTGGAGATCCTGTGGATTGTATAGTCCATGGGGTTGCAAAGAGTTGGAGACGACTGAGCGACTTTCACTTTGCCAGGTGGTGCTGGTGGTAAAGAATCCACCTGCCATTGCAGGAGATGCAAGAGATGAGAGTTTGATCCTTGGGTCAGAAAGATCCTCTGGTGTAGAAATGGCACCCCACTCCAGTATTCTTGCCAGGAAAAGTCCACCAGCAGAGGAGCCTGGCAGGCAACAGTCCATGGGGTCACAAAGAGTTGGACACAAGTGAGCAACTAAGCACATAAATAACCATATAGAATTCTGATAGTTAAGAATGTAAGAATGACTATAAATATATGAACATAGGGCATTTCTGAGAATTTGGGGAATCATGGTATCTCTAGTGTGACTATATAGAGTAATTGTTCATGAGGTAAATTAAAGCTTATATGATAGCTTATCTGATCTATAGCTAATACTTATAACAAGTGATATATTTTGAGTACCCACTATTTGCATGGTATTAATAGTACTTATAATAGGATTTTTCTTGTTAAGAAAATGCATTCACTTAGGTTAAGGCTTTGTGTTTTAAATGGCTAGGGTTATGTAACTTGTTTATATAATGTAACATGGCCATTCTTTTTATATTTTTAATTTTCTGATGATAAAAAGTTACTATTTTAAGAAATGTGCAAAGTACACATAGACATTAAAAAGAATCAGGGGAAACAATTTACAATCTAGTCATCCAGAATACAGCATTAGTAGCATTCCCGTGGGTGGAGTTCTCTTGCATTCTCTAGTGCCCCCACCCTCTTCAAATGTAGAAAACTTTAGAGATTTTGCCTGTTTAATGTTTTACTACTTTCATTTCCTCAAGCAAAGACTCAACAATGATTCTTTGACATTTAGACAATGAGAATTAATTCTTAAAGCTTTGTCTGTGTAATTCTGGTTTATGATAAAGTCAGGCAACGTTTCCTAGTTTTTGATACTCCTGTTTTTCATAAGCCCACTCAGAGGTCTACCTGCATTATTAGTTTGATTAAGATTTGTAGAGAACAATGTTTTTTATTGGTTAACAAGGTAGACCTATTTTTCCAATAGTTAAAACTGTTCTAAGCCAGTTTGTCAGATTTTGGGTCAACCTGGTTAAGAGAATATAAAAATGAGAAAATCTTGAGAAATGCCTATGCTTTTTCAAACCTAACTGCATTAGAATAATAGAATCTTTGAGTTGGGAAGTAAAAACTTATAAAGGCTGAATGCATTAAAGCCTTCTGACCCAGCTGTGAGTACTTATGATTATTATTATTTTTTAGTAGCAGTTTTATCAGTGAGTTTACTGCCGAAACCGGCATGAGATGACTGATGGGGGTAGTCTTCTTGATATGCAGGCAATTGTTAACAAATTTTATACTTTGGTAAAACTTAAGATAGATATGTGGAGAAATAGATTTTATTTATTTTTTAAAAAAGATTTTTCTTTTTTTGATGTGGACCTTTTTTTTTTTTTAAAGAAGTCTTTATTGAATTGGTTGCAATATTGCTTCTGTTTTATGCTTTGGTTTTTTGACCATGAGGCATGTGGGATCTTAGCTCCCCAACCAGGGATCTAACTTGCACCCCCTCCGTTGGAAGGCAAAGTCTTAACCATGGAACCACCAGGGACGTCCCTCGATTTTATTTACATGTAACTGGGTTGATTGGTCTCAAATATCATTTGGAGTCATTTGAAATGAAAAAATGTGTCATAGAAATTTTGTTTTTAGACATTTCCCTTCCCCCATCCTAAATGTTCTTGCTCTCTTCCTTAGGATATGGTCTACCAGATGATATTATAATAGAAAAGAGGGGCAAAGGAGACACTTTTGTGGACTGTACGGGTGCGGATATTAAAATCTCAAGCATAAAATTTGTTCAGCATGATGCCGTAGAAGGAATCTTGAGTAAATATCTGAATATTTCATTTATTATTTGTTCCAGGCTTTGAAGAAAAACTTTACTTCTCCTGAAAGATAGAAATGAAATACTACTTTTGAGTAGTATGAAAAGCTGATTACTTATGTACATAGCTTGAAAACTTAGGAAGCTTACTCTAAAATGAAAAATAGTTCATTGTATTCTTGAAAATTTGTTAGTTTAATATTTGTTTCTGAGTGATCATTTTTTTCTGTTAGAACATTCCAATATGTGGTCTGTGTTCTTTGTATTTGATTTAGTCCTGGACTCAAACCAGCTATCTTCACATTGTGATAGTATTTGTTTCTTGGGATTTGTATCCCCTGTTTTGAATTGGGCCTCCTTTTCTTCTCTCTGGTAAGATAGTCATGAAAGTTACTTTCTTAATTTTTTTTTTGTAATGAGAAGTGATTTTTGACATGATTTTGCATTTCTGAGGTCAAGTCATTCTTTTTTAAAAATATCGCTTTTAGATTTTAGAAAATAGCTCAAAATAGTCATTGTTGTTATAAAATAAGAATTCATAATTTCAGTAAAAAAGTTTAAATGAGAATTATTTAGACTATCTACTATCAACTCTAGGCCATTTCTAATATTGTAAAAGATACATTACTTCTTAAAGCATTTGATTGCATGTTTTCATCATAGTCATTCACCGTGGCAAGACTACATTGGAAAACTGTGTACTGCAGTGTGAAACTACAGGAGTCACAGTACGAACATCAGCAGAATTTTTAATGAAGAACTCAGATTTATATGGTGCCAAGGTATAATCATCTCTTATCCTTTTGGGGAGTAGCTTAGGTTTAAGTTCTAAATAGATAAATAAAATGTAGGACAAGATGTAAATGCATACTTCTGTTCTCTTTCTTCAGAGAACTTCAGATACTTACATGCATTAAGTTGGCCAGACTCAATTGTATAATGTTCTTCTTATTTAGCATTTTCAAAACAGATTATTAGGAAGACAGTAATACATCTCACAGTTTCTCTGTCATACCTTTAAAAAAGAGGTTAGACTTTTTAAGTTGTAACTTTGTAAGTGATGTAGTAATTGAGGCTTGTTTGCTGTTTTTAAATCAAATTTTTATTTTGAGATAATTGTAGGTTCACATTCTGTAGTAAGAAATAATACAGAAATAGCCTGTATGTGTACCTTTTACCAGTTTCCTCTAATTGTAACATCTTCTAAAACTATAGTACAGCATCGCAACCAGGATAAAATTCAGTTAAGTTGAATATTTCCATCACTACAGGGATCCTTCCATGTTGCTCTTTAAAGCTGTCTATGTGCCTCTCCTTCTGACCTTCTCCTTAATCACAGGCAAATGCTAATATGTTCTCCATTTGTTATTTCATCATTTCAAATATGTTATGTAAATACAGTATATACCCTTTTGGAATTGGCTTTTTTCACTTGGCACAGTTCTCTGGATCTATATACAGGTTGTTGCATCTACCAGTAGGTTCTTTTTTTATTGCTAAGTGGTACCGTGTATGATTGTTCCACACTTTTAACTGTTCACTTGTTGAATAACATCTGTTGTTTCCAGTTTGGGGATTTTGTAAATAAAGCTACTGTAAACACTGGTGTACAGGTTTTTGTGTGAACATCATTTTCATTTCTCTGGGGTAAATACCTAGGAGTATAGTTGCAGGACATGTGGTTAGTTGTGTGCTTACTTTTTTTAAAGAAACTGCCAAACTGTTTTCCAGATTAGTTGTACCATTTTACATTCCTACTAACAAAGTCTGAATGATCCAATTTGGTATTTTTGATCCAATTTTTTGTATTAGATCCAAGTTTTGGTTTGGTATTATGGATCCAATGATCCATATTTGGTATTTTCACTACTTCTTAATTTTAGCCATTTTGATAGGTGTGTTTTAATTTGTATTTCCCCAGTGGTTAATGATGATGAACATTTTTTCATATGCTTTTTTGCCATCGTTACCTTCAGTGGAAAATTCATGACTTTTGTCCATTTTCTGATTGGATTTTTTTTTTTTTTTTTACTGTAGAGTTTTGAGAGTTCTTTATAAATTCTAGGCATGAATCCTCAGTTGGGTACATCAGTTACAGATGTTCTAGTGTGTAGCTTGTTTTTTCATTGTTTTCATGAGGCTTTTACAGACAGAGCAAAGTTTTAAAGTTTGATGAAGCCCAGTTTATCAATTTTTTCCTTTTATGTGTAAGAACTCTTTGTCTAGCCCTAGGATGCAAAGATTTCTCCTGTTTTTGTGCCAGTACCATACTGTTTTGATTACTGTACCTTTGTAGTATAGCTTGAGGTTAGGAAACATGGTACCTCTTACTGTTCTTTCTCAAGATTGTTTTGGCTATTTGGGGTCTTTTGTGTTTCCATACAAATTTTAGAATTATTCTAGGTCTGTGGAAAATGCCATTGGTATTTTGATAGGAATTGCTCTGAGTATGTAGATTGTGTTGAGTAGTATGGCCATTTTAACAGTATTCTTCCAATCCACTAGCATGGTATATCTTTCCATCTCCTTGTGTCATCTTTGATTTCTTTCATCAGTTTCTTACGTTTTCTAAGTGCAGCTTTGTTTTTTATCTTGGCCATGCCACATGTCATATGGGATCTTAGTTCCCTGTCTAGGGATTGACCCCACACACCCTGCAGTGGAAGTGCAGAGTCTTAACCACTGGACTACCAGGGAAGTCTTGTTAAATATACAGACTTTTTACCTCCTTCATTAGATTTAGTCCTAGGTATTCTTTTTGATGTGATTGTAAACTGGATAGTTTTTTAAATTCCTCTTTCTGATAATTAGTGTATGGAAAGGTAACAGATTTCTGTATGTTAATTTTGTATTCTGCAATTTTACCAAATTCATGATGAGTTCTAGTAGGATTTTGGTGATGTCTTTAGGATTTTTGATGGATAGTATCATGTCATCTGAAAACAGTGATGGTTTTACTTCTTTCCTATTTGAATTTCTTTTATCTCTTGTCTGATTGCTGTGGTTAGACTTTCAGTACCACATTGAATAATAATGACAAGAATGGGCATCCTTGTCATGTTTTCCTGATATTAGAGAAAATACTTTCAGCTTCTCACCATTGAGTATGGTATTAGCTGTATATCATTCATTTTATTGATGTATATTCCATTAATGGACACTTTGTTGAGAATCCATAAATGGCTATCGAATTTTGTTCAAAGTTTTCTTTGCATCAACTGAGATGATCAAATGATTTTTTTGATTCTTTCATTTGTTAATATGTTGTGTCATGTTGATGGATTTGCAGATATTGATCTGTGTATCTCTGAGGTTAATCCCACTTGATCATGCATATGACCCTTTTAATTTATTGTTGGATTCTATCTGCTAATATTTTGTTGAGGATTTTTTTATCTATGACTGTCAAGAATATTGGCCTGTGATGCATGTGTGTGTGTGCTGTCTGTTTCTGGTTTTGATATCAGGTTGATGGTGGCCTCATAGATGAGTTTGGAAATGTACCTCTTCAATTTTGGGGGATAATTTAAGAAGGATAGATGTAAACTGTTTGTATGTTTGGAAGAATTCACCTGTGAAGATGTCTGGTCCTGGACATATGTTTGCTGAGAGCTTTTTAAATTACTGATTCAATTTCATTACTGGTAATTGATCTGTTCATATTTTCTATTTATTCCTGATTTGATGTTTAAAGATTGTACATTTAAAAAAAAAAAGATTGTACATTTCTAGAGATTTATCTGTTACTTCTAGGTTGTCCATTTTATTGGCATATAATTGTTCCTTGTAATCTTAGATGATCCTTTGTATTTCTGTGGTATCAGTTGTAACTTGTCCTCTTTCATTTCTGGTTTTATTTGGGCCCTCTCTCTTTTTCCTTTGTGAGTCTGGCTCAAGGTTCATCAATTTTGTTTATATTTTCAAAGAACCAGCTCTTGATTTCACTGAACTTTTCTATTATTTTTCAGCCTCTACTTCATTTATTTATACTCTGATCTTTGTTATTTATCCCCTTATCATGACTTTGGAGTTTCTTTGTTCTTTTTCTGTTTCCTTTAACATTATGTTGTTTATTTGACATCTTCTTATTTTCTGAGGTAGGCTTGTTTCACTGTAAAGTTGCCCCTTAGAACTGCTTTTGCTGCATTCCATAGATTTCAGATCATTGTGTTTCTATTTTCATCATTGTGTTTTGGATCATTTCTGTTTTCATCTATCTCCAGGTATTTTTTTATTTCTTCAGTGACCCATTGTTTATTTAGTATCATGTTGTTTAGTTTGTACATGTTTGTGTTTTTTGCAGTCTTTTTTCTTGTAGTTGATTTCTAGTCTCATCAGAAAAGGAGCTTGATAGGATTTCAGTTTTCTAGAATTTTGAGATTTGTTTTCTGGCTGTAGAATTGCCATATGCACTTGTATAGGATGTGTTCTGCTTCTTTTGGATGGAATGGTATTTATTAAGTCCATGTGGCCAGTGTTTCCTTATTGATTTTTTCTCTAGAGGATGTATCCATTGAGGTGGTGTTAAGTGGTCTACTATTATTGTATTACTGTCAGTTCCTTTATATTCTCCAGTGTCAGTGCATACATATTTACAATTGACATATCTTCTTGTTGGGTCTAGTCCTTTATATTTATGTCATGTCCTTTGTTATCTCTTGTTACAGTTTCTGTTTTCAAGTCTATTTTGTTTAGTGTAAGTATTGCTATCCCAAAGTTTTCTTTTCATTTGCATGGAGTACCATTTTTCATTCATTCATTTTCAGTTTGTGTGTCTTTAGATCTGAAGTAGTTTCTTGTAGACAGTATATATACATGGCTCTTATTTTATATCCATTCAGCTACTCGTGTCTTAATTGGAGTATTTAGTCCATTTACATTTAAAGTATTGATAGCTATGTACTTATTATCATTTTGTTCATTGTTTTGGGGTTGTTTTTGTAGTTCTTTATTGTTCCATTCTTTCCTTTTTTTCTCTTCCCTTATGATTTGATGACTGTCATTGCTGTTATATTTGGATTCCTTTCTCTTTTTGTGTGTCTATTACAGATTTTTGATTTGTGGTTACAGTGAGATTTATATATATATCAACTTTTATGAATATGTGATTATTTTAAGTTGCTAATCTCAATTTCAAATACATTTTTAACAATGCTGCATTTTACTCCCCTGCCCCTACAGTTACTGTTTTTTGACATCTTATTTTACATCCTTTTGTATATACCTTAACTACTTATTGCACATATAGATGATCTTACTATATCTTTTAATCTTCCTGTGAGCTTTGTACATGGTTGATTTACTACTTTTACTGGATAACTGCTTTTATCAATCAATGAGCTTTTCCTTTCATAATTTTCATGTTTCTAGTTGTGACCTTTTCTTGTTTGCTTAGAGAATTCCATTTGGGATTTCTTGCAAAGCTGGTTCTGTAGTGCTGAATGCTTTTGGTTTTTGCTTTACTTCTGATCTCTCCATCAAATCTGAATGAAAGCCTCGCTGGATAAAGTATTATCTCTCTTTTTTTCAACATAGTATATAGCTCATTCTATGTAAAATGTCCAGGATAGCCATATCTATATGCATTAAAAGTAAAGTAGTGGTTGCCTAGGGCTGGGCATAGAGTGGGGAAGAGGGGATTGGAGATAATAGCTGAAGGGTACAGGGTCTTGACCTAAAATGATGAAAGTGTTTTAACATTGACTGTGGTAATGGTTGCACAACTGTGAATATACTAAAAACTATTGAATGGTACATTAAACTTAACTGGGTGAACTGCATGGTATGTGAGTTGTATCTCAGTAAAAAGGGAGTGATGCAGCCAGGATGGTGGGATGCATCCTTTGGGCTCCAGTTTTCTCCTTAACCCCCTCTTATCTTCACTGTCCCTGCACGGTATCTTCCTTCCCACCACATTTCAGGCCAGCAGTGTCTTGATCTGTCCCTGTCATCCCTGTTGCCCTTCTCTTCTTTTGGGTGGACCATGAGGTATGCTGGCCTTTTTTTCAGCTGTTGTCCAGTATGGGGATTTCTTTTTTGTTTGCTTGTTCAAGCATAGTTTATATATTACAATATTGCATCAGTTTCAGGTATACAGCAAAATGATTCGTTAAAACATATATATGTGTATGTATATTTTTCAGATTATTTTCACAGATAGAGTATTCTTGATTTTAGTTTTTTCCCTTTTATCACTTTATATATATTGTGCCCTTTGGCTTTCAGAGTTCCTGCTGGAAAGTCAGCTGATAGCCTATGGGAGTTCCGTTGTATATAACATGATGGTTTTCCCTTGCTGCTCTTTTTTTAAAAAAAATTTTATTTATTTTTTGATTGTGCTGGATTTTTGTTGCTGCTGACAGACTTTCTCTAGTTATGGCGAGTGAGGGCTACTTTTCACTGTGGTATGTGGGCTTCTCATTGCAGTGCCTTCTCTATTGCAGAGCACAGGCCTTAAACACATGGACTTCAGTAGTTGCCACAGACAAGCTCAGTAGTTGTGGTGCCTGGGCTTAGTTGCTCTACGGCATGTGGGATCTTTCTAGACCAGGGATCAAACCTGTGTCTCTTGCATTGGTAAGCGGATTCCTAACCACTGAACCACCAGAGTTTTCCCTTGCTACTTTTAATATTCTCTCTTTAATTTTTGCCATTTTAATTATAATATGTGTTGATATGGTCAGTCCTCTTTGATTTGATCCTATTTGGGACTCTCTCTGTTTCCTGGACCTAGATTTTCGTTTCCTTGATTAGGGTAGTTTTCAGCTTTTATGTCTTTAAGTGTGTTCTCTGCCCCTTTCTCTTGGTGTTCTCCTGGGATCCTTAAAATGTGAATGTTCTCCCACAAGCCACTTAAACTGTCCGAATTTCTTTTCATTCTTATTTTCTGTTCAGCTTCAGTGATTTCTATCTCTTTTCCATATTGCTGATTTGTTTCTCTGCATCATTTAATCTACTATTGATTTCTTCTAGTGTATTTTTCATTTCAGTTATTGCATTTCATCTCTGGTTCTTTTTTATATGTTCTAAGTCTTTGTTAAATTCATTGTATTCATCCAGTTTTCTCCGGAGTTCTTCAATCATCTTTTGACCATTACCTTGAACTCTTCATCAGGTAGATTGCCTATGGGATTTTTGTCTCGTTTCTTTTTTTGGAACATGTTCCTCTGCACCTCATTTTGCCTAATTCCTGTATGTGGGTTGCCTACCTTGGGGATGTAGGACTTGACTGTACTACGTCTCTGCCCTTTCTATCTGTCACTTTGCGGTTCCTTCTTTGTAACTTTAATTGTGGGAAATATTTTCTGCTAGTTACCTGACAGTTCTCATTGACAGTTCCTTTGGTAAATAGTTTATTTTTGGTGTGCCTCTTGGGGGAGGTGCTCAGGGTCTTCCCACTTCACCATCTTTGCTACCAGTCTAACTACAGGGCTTTTTTGTAAATATTCTTTATCAAATTAAGGAAGTTGCCCTCCATTTCTGTTTTCTGAGAACTTTCATAATGAATTTGTGTTGACTTTTGTCAAATGCTATTCACTTTCTTTCATCTTAGAATGTCTTGATTTCTCTTTATTCCTAAAGAATATTTTCACTGGGTGTAGGATTCTAAATTGACAACTCTTTTCTGCTAGATCTTTTTAACAATACTGTGCCACTTTCTTCAGGCCTCCATGGTTCCTGATGAGAAATCCTCTTTACTTGAATTTTTTCTCCAATTGATAAGACATTATTTTTCCTTGACTGCATTCAGGATAACTTTTCCTTTTTCCCCCTTTCCTTTTGGCCTTAAACTTTTGTAAATTTAATTATGATGTACTTTGAAATGGATTTCTTTGAGTTTATCCTGTTTTCTCAGATTTTTTAATCTGTAAATTTAATGTCTCTTGCCAAATTAGCTATTTCTTCTTTGATTTTTCTTTTTTTAGCTTTACCCGCCTTCTTTTCTATGACTGATAATCAAAATTTTAGATCCTCTGTTATTGTCCTATAGGTCCCTGAAGTTCCGTTCTTTTTTTTCTTTTTCAGATTGTTTTCTCTCTATCAGACTAGATGATTTCTATTGTTCTGTCTTCCATTTCACTGATTCTTTCCTCTCTTCTTTTCCTTTATGCTGTTGTGCCCATCTACTGAGCTTTTTATTTCAGTTACAGTATTTCTCAGTTCTGAAATTTCCATTTGGTTCTTTATATCTTCTATTGCTTTGATGAGACTTTCTATTTTCTTATTCAGTCTTCTATTTTTCATTTAAGTATTTAATAATTGCTCACTAAAATAATTGGCTGCTTTAAAATCCTTGTCAGCTAATTCCATCATCTCTGACATCTTGGTTTTGGTTTGTATTGATTACCTTTTATTAAGTTTGACATCTTCTTGGCACTTGATATGACAAGTGATTTTCAACTGAACCTGGATGTTTTGTGTTATATTATTACAATCTACATCTTCTGTCTTAGGTGGGCGTCTCTTACACTACTATAGCAGGGAATGGGGTAAAGGCTACTGCATTATTACTACCAGGTCTCCAAGTTCCCCATTTGGTTTCCATTGGTATCCAAGTTGAGTGGGAAAGCTTGTTACTGGTGGGTAGGTGTAAGAATTCTAGTTTCTTACATGTCTCCACTGATACTCTGGCATATGGCAGTGGGCTTGTTACCACTGGCAATAATGAAAATCTAGAGCCCCCACTGGGCCTGCTCTGACACCACTCCAGTTGGGAACGGGTGCAGCATCTTGTTGTCAGTTGAGGGTATGAGTCCAGGCCCTCACAAGGGTGAGGGACTTGTTACCAACCAGTGGGGATGAAACTCTTAGGCTTTAAGTGATACTACCCCTGTGTGAGTATTGGGGTACCTAGTCACAGCCTTGAGAGGGTAGAAGTCTAGGCTCCCCCTTGGCACTTGCCAGCATGGATGGAATAGACTAATTTTTTTTCCTATGGTGTTTGGCTAGAATAGAGCTGTTATTGTTTCAAAGTTTTCTGTCCTTTGAAGCTTGCCTAGTCCTTTGGCTAGAGAGAGTGGGATTTGGGGGAGGCTTTTCTGGTCTGTGTCTGATGTTTATGGATCGCTAGCTCCTTCAGTTTCATGTCTGAAAGTGTGAGGCAAAAAGAAAACCCAGTCTACACTGGGTTGGTGTCATTTCTCAGGGGTTGAGGTGTCCAGGTAGCCTGGCTTCTTTACTCCACTTTTCAACTGTATTATGTTTGTTTTATATATAATGTCCATGAGTTTTATTTGTACCATCATTTTAGAAGAGGCAGCCTTTTCCGTTTCTTTTTAGTTATTAAATATCTGTTCAGTTTCATAATATATTTTGAACATGATTGTCCCAGTTACTAGGTGGCTGCTGGCTTAAGTTGTTCTCTTCAGGTTTTACATGATTCCTGATAATTTGATATTTAAACTGTTTTATTGTGTATGTATTTTAAATGTTATTGCCCATAAATCTATTTCTGTATATAGCTACAAACTGAAAGTCTTAGCTGAAGGCCCATTTCACAGATCTTACAACTTCTACAGAGAGTTAGGTGGGTGTGTAGTGACCATGCGCCTACATATCAGTAATCTCTAAAGGGGGAAGTAATAATAAATATTTTCTCATGGTACACTACCATTCCTAGGGAAACAACTCAATATACATTCAATAGATATGTCATAAATGGTTAATTGCAACTCTTCCAGGATAGTGTATGAAATTATCCTAAAAGTGAGTTTTTAAATAATCATCGAGGTTTGAGTGAAATTTTTACTTACTAAAGTGCCTAGCGTAGTGTCAGGAGATAAATTATTCCTGTTCCTGTTACTTCTTTTGTTGGTACCATTTGGTGCCAGGGTCAATGTGAGAGAACTGGCCCACGTGGATTGTCCTGGCTACTGTCAGGGCATAAACAGGGCGTTTGAATCAGCTACTCATGTAACATTAGTAGTTACTGTTAGCGTTAGTTAGTAATCGCGTTAGTTATTTTAGTTCACAGAAATGATTTTCAAGTTATGTTGGGATATTCTTGAACTGGTGTGCTTTTCAAAATAGAGCGCCTTATTTCTATCTACAATTTAACAATATTTTACTAGATTTGAACACTGTTCTCCAACTAATTGAGTATATCTAAAAGAATGGTTATTTTTAATATGTGCCTCTTTCAATGTAATTGTTAACTGACATTTTTTGGGAAGAATCAGAAAACTGATTTGTCCAGAATGAAAGAGTGAAATAGTAATCAAGTGTTGAAACTCTTAGCCATTGTTGTGTGTGTGTGTGTGTGTGTGTGTCTGTATGGTATTTGAATATGATAAATGATAGACAGCTTGCTGGAAATTAAGCAAGTGGAAATGTTGATTAGAAATACTTAATAAAACTTTCTATAAAACACTTTATATTTGTGCTACATTAAAAGTCTAAGAAGTGATAAACCTTTTATAGTCCTGCCTATTTAAAACTGACTGGATTACTTTAAAATGTAATTTGTAGGGTGCTGGTATAGAAATATATCCCGGGAGTAAATGCACTCTGAGTGATAACGGGATCCATCACTGCAAGGAAGGGATCCTCATTAAGGTGAGCCCCTGCTGAGACACCCTCTTTCCAAAGGGTAGAATTTAGGTTTTAGAATTTTAAATTGAGAATTTAGGTTTTACCTAAGAAACAGTTATGTTTTATGAAATTCCCATGTTATTTCTGTTGTTTTCTGTTTTAAAAAGCATAAACAATATATAAATTTTAATGATATCAATAGTTGGTGGTTGAAAGTCTCTTGTGAATACTTTGCTGTCCATAGATCTGCAGAAATAACAGAGAAATGCTGTGTCATTCAGAGCTCAGATTGTGCTACCGCATATTAATAAGCATAGCTTTCTATTTTATTTTTAGAATACCCTGAAGAAAGTGAGAGATTTTTAAAGCAGGCTGTGTTAAATGTGTCAGTTCATTGAAACATTTGTTTTCAATGTCACAGGACTTCTTAGATGAACATTATGACATTCCCAAAATATCCATGGTGAATAATGTCATACATAATAATGAAGGTTATGGTGTTGTCTTGGTGAAACCTACAATTTTCTCTGATCTGCAAGAAGATGCCCAAGATGAAACTGAAGGTATGGTATATTTAGTAATTTTCTAAATAAAATCTCAACCTAGTTTATTTCAGCACTAAGCTCTGATTAAAGATAGAAATCTTCTCTTTTAAAAAAAGACAACTAGCATACACTTAGGTACAGAGATAGAGAAGCTTGGTAAAGCTGTAATATGGAATCTAGGCGTGAAAGAAACTTTCAAGGTCAGCTGGTCAAAGCCTTGATGTGTGGTTTCTGTAGTCCTGCAATTCCCTTATCAGGTTTGGTTTTCTCTAAATTTATAGAATAAGGATGGGCATATTCTAGCATATACTAGGCTATTGCTAACAAATCCTTTGGCATTTAAGGATGGAGGCAGGAAAATGAACGTGCCTGGTTGAAAACTGCATTTGACTGGAGGGGATCATAGAGTTTGCCTCTATTTTTTATTTGCAAAAGTAAATGTCTCCCTGACAGCTGTCTTTATTGGCAGCAAAGCTGAGCTAACTCAGTTGGAAATTTCTTGAATTTCTTTTTTTTTTTTTTTTTTTATTTTAATTGGAGGCTAATTACTTTACATTATTGTGGTGGTTTTTGCCATACATTCACATGAATCAGCCATGGGTGTACATGTGTTCCCCATCCTGAACCCCCCTCCCATCTCCCTCCCCATCCCATCCCTCAGGGTCATCCCAGTGCACCAGCCCTGAGCGCCCTGTCTCATGCATCGAACCTGGACTGGCGATCTAGTTCACATATGATAATATACATGTTTCAGTGCTATTCTCTCAAATCATCCCACCCTCGCCTTCTCCCACAGAGTCCAAAAGACTGTTCTTTACACCTGTGTCTCTTTTGCTGTCTCACATATAAGGTCATTGTTATCATCTTTCTAAATTCCATATGTATGCATTAATATACTGTTTTGGTGTTTTTCTTTCTGACTTACTTCACTCTGTATAATAGGCTCCAGTTTCATCCACCTCATTAGAACTGATTCAAATGCATTCTTTTTAATAGCTGAGTAATATTCCATTGTGTATATGTACCACAGCTTTCTTATCCATTCGTCTGCCGATGGACATCTAGGTTGCTTCCATGTCCTGGCTATTGTTAACAGTGCTGTGATGAACATTGGGGTACACGTGTCTGTTTCAATTCTGGTTTCCTCACTGTGTATGCCCAGCAGTGGAATTGCTGGGTCGTATGGCAGTTCTGTTTCCAGTTTTTTAAGGAATCTTCACACTAATCTCCATAGTGGCTGTACTAGTTTGCATTCCCACCAACAGTGTAAAAGGGTTCCCTTTTCTCCGTACCCTCTGCAGCATTTATTGTTTGCACAAAGACTTTTTGATAGCAGCCATTCTGACCAGCATGAGATGGTACCTCATTGTGGTTTTGATTTGCAGGAAATTCTTAAATTCCAAGCTATGACCCACATCACTATGAAATCTCAGCCATGCAGGATTATGCCTTGGAATGGGTGAGGAACATTTAAAGGATGATGAGTAGTCCTTCTCATCCTTCAAGGTCCACTCCAGCTATCTGTTAGTTCTTTTTCTCCTCATAGTTCTATAGGTCAGAAGTTAAGGTGAGCTTGGCTGGGTTATCTGCTTAGGGTCTCACAAAGGTGAAAGTGAGGTATCAGCTGGGCAGGGCCCTTATCTGAAATCTCTGGGGGAGAATCTGCTTCCAAGTTCCTTATATTGGCAGAATCAATTTCCTTGAGGTTGTAGGACAGAGATCTCTTTTTTATTGTTGTTGCCAGCTGTTGGTTAGGGGTTACTCTCAGCTTTTAGGGATCACTCTTGGGTTATTGCCCCATGACCCCCTCCATTGCAGCAACAGAGGACCTCCCTCAAAGCAAATCTCTCACGCTTCAAATCTTTCTGACGCTTTCAATCTCTTTATGCTTTCCTCTTCTTCATCCAGCCAGGGAAAACCTTGCTGTTAAAGATTTGTATGATTAGGTTTGGAATACCTGAGTTATGTCCTTTTCTTAGGGTGAATTGATAAGTAACGTTAATTACATCTGCAAGGTCCTTTTACCATTTAACAGTCATGAAAGTAACAAGGGGCAGGCATCATAGGGCCATCTAGAATTCTGCCTATCACAGGCAATCACTTATAAAGCTGCTAAATTGGGAGTTCCTTTAAGGAAACTAAAGTACTAGTACTGTTCTGTTTATCTTTGTATCTAGCTTCTAATACAGTGCTTAGTAAATATCCAGGAGAGGTCTGTTGAATGAATGAGATCTAGGATAAAAAGAGAAAATTTGAAGTTAATAATCCTGTATGAAGGTCAGGAAACCTTGACAGTTAAGACAACTGCTTGTTGAGACACTTATGGCAGAGAGTTTGAAAAGTCCAGTCAAATGACGCAGGACCCCTTGACAGAAAAAAATTAAAACCTCTGATAGACTGTAGAAATACATGTTTTAGTTGGGTTAGTTTGTATATTTAACTCAATTTGTTATAATTTGTTTGTTTTTTCAGAAAATAAAGCACTTAAAGTTCAGACAAGTGGAGAGGCAGATGAAGCTCAAAGAGTGGATCTGGAAGAGCTGATTCAGTGTGCAGCTGGTAAAATGGAGCTTTATTCGAGGGCTGACCTTTCTGAGCAAGCTGAAGGCAATTGTGAAATTGTAAATGAACTAGTTGCTGCCTCCACACAAAAAGGCCAGATGAAGAAGAAAAGGTTGAGTGAACTGGGGATCACACAAGCTGATGACAACTTAATGTCACAGGAGATGTTTGTTTCAATTGTGGGGAACCAGTTCAAGTGGAATGGGAAAGGGAGTTTTGGCACATTTCTTTTTTGACCACTGTGATGTAAATAGATAGCAAAATATTAAATTTTGCACGTGGCCCCCAAGAATCACTGCTGCTATCACACTTTGCTTCATGTCTGTATTTTGTGTCTGATGTATTCAGTTGGATTTGAATGAAATGTAGCTTTATTTCTCTCTGCAAGTGTTGCACGTAAAACACTCTCTCTTTGTTTTATAAAGTCATAAAAACATAAAATAGAAAATATTTGGAGATTCTTATCCAGAAAGTCTTGCTTTCTCAAATACATAGTTCCCACATTGTCTATTAATAACTTTCTAGTATAAATATACTTTAGCACTTCAAAGATGAGGAAGAAAGGCAGAGAATGCCAGATGAATGCACAAAAACGTAGTGTATCAATATGCAGTATTCTTATAGTCTTTTTAATCCCAATTATAGTGAGTCTGATATCCATGCTTTATTTGCATAATACCTATAATATTTGCATAAAAGCTTTTATCATTGGGAGGTGACCTGCCTTATCAGACTTATTATTGAGAATCTTGAGTGGAAATGCCTTTTTATATTGAACTATGTAATCATCAAAGCAGTAATAGCATAGCAGGTTTGAAACAGGAGTGAAACGTGTTATTCAGAGCCAGTGTGTACATAGAGCATTTTCCCTGTTGCTTAATATGAATGATTAAAAAGAAAATACTTTTCTTTCACCATAGAAGTACTCTGATCAGATTTCTTACATAGGCAAAATGATTACCTATAAACCTATATCAGCTCTATGTTCTTGATATCATATTGTAAAATACAGCTTTTAAAAGTATTTATATTATAAAAAAGTATATGTGACATTAATGTTCCTACTGATTAAAATTACAATGATGAAAATAATAAATTGAATCTTGTAATATTTTTCAAATGCATTATGGGCCATTGTGCATGTGTGATCCTTTGAAGTACATACAGTATTTTGACATCATTTTAGTGTTTCAGAAAGAGTATTAAAATTTTTTCTCAGAGAAATTGTTTCTTAAATTTGAATAAGTTATAATTTTATTTTTCAGATGCTAAAAATTGTGGAAGGATTTGTGTTAGATTTTTCGTTTGACCATTGCAAGGCATTTTTCTTTTACTCTTTAAATCCTGTTCCAAAAATTATACTAATTAATTCTGTATCACTTGAGCTAAATTCTTATTTGAAAACCACTTATTCAACTTAAAAAGATCAAATTGGTTTTCTGATTAAATTTTTGTTTTATCTTAGAGTTTAGATTTTGTTTATTTTCTCTTGTAACTTACTAGAGTGTCAAGAGAATGACCAGGTAAGTAAAGTTAATACCTTCTTTGTTCCTTATAGGATGATGGTTTTTCAGATTTCATTTCTATCTTAGTTTAAATCTAACCTTACTATATATTAATTTTTGTTCAAATGATAAGTTAGTGAATAGAGTATATTCTTATTTAAGTTACATAGAGTCCATTTTGCTTATTGGGGAGGACTGAGCATCTCAGATAACTTAGTTCAGGGAATATAGAGAGAGCCCTCGAGGGATTTGACAGTTGAGGTGAAAATACTGACATGGAAAAAGTTTTTACTTGAGATTAAGTATTAATGTATAGTCAAATCCACTCTTCTGAGTCTTGTGACTTGTTTACATAGGGCTTGTCTATTACAAGCTTATGAAAGTATTTTATATTATCTTCTAGTACAACTAGGCTTATTTAAATTTACACTTCTAATCCACCTGTAATTTGGTTTTATGTATGTTATGATGTAGAACTCTCTTTCAATGGTTAGCAAGTTCTCTTGATAGTGTCTATTGACTAGTTCATTTTTTCCCCATTTAATTGGAATCATGCTAAATTCCGATGTTTGCCTATAGTTGACCCTCTGGCTTAAAACTACTGTCTGATAATCTCTAGCTAAGTGTATATTCTGTTTCAAGGATCTACATCACTAGCACTCAATCAAATTTGACTAGAAGTATTTTCTAGCCATCCTGCATTGTAGCAAGTTATTCTTCCTCCTAGTCACCAGAGGAAAATATGGCCTCACTTCCTCTTTTGAAGGTATTTTTTAAAACCTTCTTGAAAATTATCTTTTATATCTTTCTTTGATATAATAAAAAATCATCATTTTAAATCTACAACTCTTTTTGAGTCTTGACAAATATGTAGTTATGTAACTACTACTACAATCACAATATTGAAAGTCCCCATCATCTTTAATAAAAGTTCCCTCATTTTTCTTTGCAGTCAATCCTCTCTGCCTCCCATTGGGTCCTGGAAACCTCTGATCTGCTTTCAGTCACCATAGTTTTGCTTTTTCCTAGAATTATATATAATAAAGAATGACTCAGTATATAGTCTTTTGTATCCATCTTCTTAAGCTTAGCATAATGCTCTTAAAATACATCTATATTGTTTCATGTGTCTGTAGTTCATTTTTATTGCTGCATAGTTTTCCATTATGTAGATGTTGAGTATCCTACCAGCAGTCTGTGTGAGTTCTAGTTGCTCTCCATCTTTGCTAACACTTGGTATTGCCATTCTTTTAAATTTTAAGTATTGTAACAGATGTGCAGTGATAGCTCATTGTTTTTAATTTGCATTTACTTTATGATTGATGATGTTTAGCATCTTTTCATATACTTACTTGCCATTTCTATATCTTTGGTGAAGTGTCTGTTCAAATCTTTTACTTATTTTATTCCCCCCAATCAGGTTTTCTTATTGAGTTGTAAGGTTTGTGTTTTATTTTAAGTTCTGGATGCAAATTTTAAATCAAATATATGTTTTGCAAATATTTCCTTTCTGCCTGTGGTGTGAGCTTTAATTTTCTTAATAGTACCATTTAAGCAGCAGAAGTTTTTTCAAGTCCAGTTTATCAGTATTTCTTTTTTTATGGTCCATGCTTTTTATGCCTTCTCTGGAAACCTTTTTTTCTCTTTTCCTACCTTCTGTTTGGGCTTCCCTTGTGGCTCAGTGGTAAAGAATCCACCTACAATATGGGAGACCTGGGTTCTATCCCTGGGTTGGGAAGATCCCCTGGAGAAGGAAAAGGCTACCCACTCCAGTATTCTGGCCTGGAGAATTCCATGGACTGTATAGTCCAATAGGTCACAAAGAGTCGGACATGACTGACTTTCACTTACCTTCTTTTGGGTTGATTTTTTTTTAACTTTTTAAAAAAATGGTTCCATTTTATCTCCACCATTGGCTTATTTTATATATATATATGTGTGTGTGTGTGTGTGTTAAATATATATTATATATTTTATAGTTTTGCTTCAGGGCAGTAGTTCTCGATCAGAGGCAAGTTTGACCCCTTACCTCCACCTCAAAAGGACATTTGCCAAAGTCTGGAGACATTTTTCATCGTCACAACTTAGAGTGGCGTGCTAGAATTGTGTTTATTAGGTAGAGGCCAGGGATGCCAGTAAACATCTGAATCTGACAGTGTACCTGCACCCTCACATTGTGGAATGACATTTTGGCCAAAAATCTCAGTTGTACCAAGAAAAGCTCTTGCTCCAGGCAGTCCTCAGCAACTCTTTCTGTAAAGATCCAAATAGTAAATACATGGTCTTATATCTCCTTCTACCCACCCGCTTCCAAAATGTATAAAACATTCTTAGCTTCTGAACAAAAATAAGTAGCAAGATGAATTTGTCCTATGGCCTGAATTTGCTGACCCTTGCTCTACGGTTTGCAATGGACATAAACTGTCTTCTCATCTTATATGTAAGGTCCGTTTTCCCTTGTTTCCCTTGTGCTATTGTCGTCAAACATTTTACCCTTACATAGTTATAAGCCCCTCAATATTTTGCTGTCATTTTTGCTTCAAACTATTAGCTTTAAACCATTAGTCAGAAAGATTGAAAAATATGTCTTTTATATTTGTTAATGTATGGACCATTTCTGACACTCTTCATTCTTCATTATATAGATCCAAATTTCTATTTGGTATCAAATTCTACCTGAATAATCTTTATCATTTCTTTTGATACAGGTCTGCTAATAGTGAATTCCCCTAGGTTTTGTTTGTCTGAAAATGCCTTTATTTTTTCTTTAATTTTGAAAGATGACTTTTTGCTGCTTAGAGAATTCTGAACTGACAGTGACAGTGTATCTCAGTGTTTTAAGATGCTGTTCACTGTCATTTCACTTTCATAGCTTCTGGCAAGCAGATTGTTTTTAAGACTATCACTGGTTGTCAGTCAGCAGTTTCATTATCCTATATCTTTGTGTTGATTTTAATTTGTTTAATTTCTATTTATTCTGCATGGAGTTCATTGTACTTCTTCATTGTGTGAGTTTATTTTTTTCAGATATTTTTTCTCTCCTGTGCTCTCTCTCATCTCTCTTTCTTTAACTCTAATTACATACATGTTTCTCTGTTTTATTTTGTTCCTAAGGTCACTGATACATTATTCATTTGTGTTTCACTTTGGATAGTTTCTATTGCTATGTCTTCAAGTTTACTAAAATTTTCTTCCAAATAGTTTAAACTGCTATTAATCTCACCCATTTCAGATATTATGTATTTTTTAATCCCAAGATGGTTTTTCAGAGTGACTATAACATCTTTCCTTTTGCTCTTTAACATGATTATATTTTCTTCTAGTTTCTTGATCATATAGGACATATTTATAATAGCTATTAGTGTCCTTATTTGATAGCTTTATCATCTCTGTTGCTTCTGGGTCTGTTTCTATTGATTGGTTTTACTCTTGGTTATGGGTCATATTTTCCTGTTTCTTTGCTGGTTGCTTATTTCTGACTGGATGCTAGGCATTATGAATTTTCTGTTAATGTGTGATTTGTTTTAGTCCTTTATAGTGTTGGTTTTTTTTTTTTTCCCCCTGGAATGCAGTTACTTGGAATCAGTTGAATTCTTTCAATGTTTGCTTTTAAGCTCTGTTTGAGCAGGTTCAGAGCAGCTTATAGTCTGGGACCAATGTACACCTTTCTTTGCTTTTCCAGAAACCTATCTGGTGCCCCATATATTATGAGGTCTTTTCACTTTGGCTGG